TATCCCGAAACGGAGTAGTTTTCAATCTTGTTTGGTTTATGTATATATATTTAAAAATCAGAAATTAATTAGCTTATAAGGTACATAAATAGTACTATTGTAACTGTAAATATGTTTTTACTACCCTAAAAATACTTTTAAGTTAATGCATTACATTTATTTTCGCTGTTTGTTACTGCAAATTATTATAATTTATTAAATTTACTGAAAATACGCATATTTTAATAAAATTATATGCAAAAATATTTATGTTTTATAATTGAACGAGTTGCTTTAATTCAATACCATATTTAGTTAACTTTTAAAGCTATGCGTCATAAAGAGTGAAACACCTAAGCGTTATTCCACACATTTTTTTAAGTATATCAAAAGTATGGTAAATCACTCACGTTAAAGACATGGAATTATAGTACATATGTATATAGTAAGTTATAGTGTATTAATATGTGTMATTTCTAATACTCGGGATATAAAGACCCAAAACCCTGAATCGCATTAGATATCGACGAGCTAAACATCCTGTATTTCATGCCAAACATTGCTTTTTTCAGGTGGTTTCTCTAATGGCGCTGTTGAAATACTTCGACATTCGACTAGAAATTGATGAATACCCTGATAGTACCTGAAAAAGAAGCAAATGATATAAATCTATCGGTAAAATCGGTGTAAAACGTATGGTGCATACTATAAGCCGAAATTTAATGACGTATTTTTCTTCAAAAAGAAATCCTAAATCTGTTTGCAATATACGGTAACAATTTTATTAATTCTTCTGTACTCTATCGTAATATATTTTCGGTTTTATGTCAATATGCACCACACACCTTGAAATTTACTATACCCGTCCATTATCCAGGTATCATTGTGAGCACCTCCTATAAATTCGAGTATGCGCTTTTGTTCACTTCCACACTTCATATATAAAGTACGCATCATACGAGGAGGTACAAGGTTATCTGCCAAACCTGATATAAATAAAAATGGTACTGAACATTTACCAATTTTCCATGAAGATAAATACTAAAATATAAAGGAAGTATATAAATATTGCGCTATATTATCTGTTAATTGACTCGCTTACTTTATTTTTAAAGCAACATTTTGGTATTAGATTGGCGGATGGATGAACTAATTCAACGGCCATTTCTGGTATGCTGGTAAATGTGTTTTCTACAATTGCACACATAATTTTTTGACTATACACTGTATCTGCGGCTACATCAATTACCACAGCACCGCCTAATGAACGACCAAATAATACTATCTTTGTGTGATCTAAATCGTTGCGTGTATACAAGTAATCTATTACAGCGCGAGCATCTAATGATAACCCCTTTTCCGAGGGTACACCAGTTGAAAAGCCGTAACCACGGTAATCTATCATTAATATATTACAGTGAAGATGATTAAATATTCCCCAAATATTTTGCATACGATGACCCATATTGCCAGCATTTCCGTGAAAATAAACAAAAGTTGGCACCACCTTTGAACGCTCCTTCGGCTGCGACACCCAAAATGCGTGCAATGTTACTTTATCTGGTGTGTGAATACTGACTGATTCATGTGGCAGGTTATGCATTTTTGGGATAGGCACATAAATGCGAGAGTTTGCCGGCAGATCAGGATGATATAAGAGCATATCTTGCAAATAATAAAAGCCAACTGGAAAGCGATATTTAAATTATTTGACTAACTTAAGTAACTGTTTGCATACTTACAAGATGTAATACAGAAAAGTAAAAGGATGGTTAAAAGACTTCCATAGTAGTAATAAAATAATAGGAAGGCCAAGAGTACAGCTAGAGATACGGCATATATGCTGCGAGACTTGGGCAAGGCAATTGGCACGCCGCCGAATTCTTGCGACATTGGGTGTCCGTTTGCGGCTAGTGTGGTTTAGTAATTCCCGTGGGATAAACTGATATTGCAATGTGTGGAGAGTCATCAAACAAACTGATACTGTTTAGCGTGTACCCAACAACATTTCGATGTTTTTCGTTGTAAGCRCTGAAAAATTTTATGTTATATTCTTTAGAAAGGACATTAATATTTTCCACAMTTAAGATATTATTTCTTTTTTTGTTAAKATTGTTCAACAAACTACAGTTCAGGATTATATTTACAACAAATTACAGCTGATTTCGTTCCTTCACATAGTTATCGATATTATCGATTTATAAATCTTCTACTTAGATTTATTTTGATACTGTTTCACATCACTAACACTTCTCTTTATTAGGGTCCAGCGGATTAGTAGAATTTTAAGGCCAGTCAAACCTGTACTAATGGAAATCYTTTCGTTATACGGGACATACATGTTTCGCGTTGTTTTGACAATGAGTAAACATGAACGGATTGCGAAGGGATAATGTATATTTCATATTCTTTTTCAATATGTCTTAATTTTTCCAACTTTTAACTTTGCAAATGAGCAATTGGGCAAACACATGGTGATAAGTGAGTAAATTTCAAATACAAGTCAAATCAAATGTAATAGCCCTGACAGACGACAGCGATAATATGCATTAGCGGGCTTAATTTACATTTACTTGCGCATATGACCCATGTTAATGCAAGTTTGCAATGCACAAGAATTCCGTGCGTTTAGCTGAATTTACCAAATTTGAGAAGGCAACACTGCTCAAAAATGGTCGATCTTTGCTATTTTTTGACAGATGTCGCTTGAAGTCTGCTGCTTCTTTGCGTTTACAGCATSATGCGCGGAACACAATGCTAACGACAGACTGCAGCAGCACGACAGTGAACTGAAAATGGCGTTGTGAATCCTACTACAAGAACGTTTGTGAGAGGGCAGCAACATAACAATGGCCGGCATGTACACAAAACAACTCAGTTGTCCATTTTGCATGTACACAATTTAGTTGTGGCCATACTAATACCTTGCACTTCAATGAAATTTAAATATTTTGTTCAAAGTGAAATTTTTAAGCAAAAAATAAGTAAATAGGTAAATTTATTTGTTTTAAATTATCAATTGTTATTATAAATGATGTAACAGAGCTATTTTATGCTTTTATTTGTAAAATAACGTCAGTTTTGTTAGAGCTTTGAGTAATTTTACATTTTACATATTAGTGGCATCACCACTCTACCTCATCTCTCTATCTTCCATTCTACCGTCAACTCTATTATCGTCCCACTGCCGCTGGCAAATATAGGATAAAATAGAAGTTAGCGAGAACGACAACTGTCGGCCTGCTGTCGTGTTGTCGTACAGCTGTCAAAATAGGCCCGTCCATAAGAACGTGTGTATTTTAATATTTGACAGATGTCGTCTGCAGTCTGTCGCGAGCATTGTATTCCACACATCAGAAGTAAGCAGTTTTATATTGCTAATTAAATTATGTGCAAGTTTATTAACAAAACCAAATTTTAATATTTTTGATGGCAGAAAATAAACAACTCACAGTTTGCTATCGATTTTCCCAATATTCTTAACTTTTTYSCACACACTTTCCGCATTACAATTAATTATTGCTTTTATTTTCACTCTATTATCTTACGTAGTTAAAAATAAACTAATTTTTTCCTTAAATTGATTAGGATTTTCTAAAAATACCAAAATTTCTATTAATACTTTATAATTTTTGTTTTACTTTAAAAAAAGAAATAAACAAATTTCACCGTCAGCTGTCTAAATGCACAAGTCTGCCGTCTGTTACCGTAAAATTTCAATGAGCATTAGCGTTGCTTAAGGCGCATTAATTTTGCTAGTCTGTCAGGGCTATAAGGCCCTTATTAGATATAACAAGGAAGTACTACTATATTTGTACAATGGAAAATACTCAAGTTGAACATAGTAAATTAGACATTTGGCAAATTTAAGAATTCATCCTCAAAAATTTGCCAAAGGTCATTAATGTTATGAGCAACATTATTGTAAATATANAGCTGCGTTGATTTAGCCATGGCGGTTTGTCTGTATACACAAAACGATCAAAATTACGTTCTTGTATGTTTTTTTTTTGATCAAAATCAAGTTTTTATAAGGAAAACWTGGAGTTGAGAAGGGTAGTATAGATTTAGTGAAATTAACGTTTTTTATTCTTTGCTTTATTTTGAAATTAAATAAGAAATGATCTTTTCTCAATGTTTAAGTATTCATAATATAAGACTTTGAATATTCGTCTAGCTACAATTTTACTCTTCTACATTTCAGAGATTTCAGTCCTGAAATGAGTGGCAAGTTTATGCTGCTTGACTTTATGTTAGCTTCAATACGGGCAAATAGTGATGACAAAGTGGTGCTTATATCGAATTATACGCAAACGTTGGAATTATTTGAGAAACTTGCACGAAAAAGGTAAAATTTGTACAACTACGTACATATAAATATTACTATATAATACTCTTTCTTATGGTTTTGGTAGAAAATACAGTTATGTCCGGCTCGATGGTTCTATGACAATAAAGAAGCGTAGCAAGGTAGTGGATAAATTTAATGATCCTGAATCCGACTGTTTTCTCTTCATGTTGAGTTCGAAAGCTGGTGGTTGTGGTTTAAATTTAATTGGAGCTAATCGTCTTTTCATGTTCGATCCCGATTGGAACCCCGCAAACGATGAGCAGGCAATGGCTCGGGTTTGGCGTGATGGTCAAAAAAAGCCATGCTATATATATCGTTTGGTAGCCGTAAGTTGTGCTAAATTTTTATGTTTGTATTTCATTATATTTGCAACAATTCATCTTTATTCGTAGACGGGCTCGATTGAAGAGAAAATTTTGCAACGTCAGACTCATAAAAAATCATTATCGAGCACAATAATTGATAATAATGAAAGCAATGAGAAACATTTCACACGTGAAGATCTTAAAGATCTTTTCCGTTACGATGCTGATATCTTGTCCGATACTCATATTAAGTAAGTAGAACGTTTTCTGATTAAATATTACTAAATTTCATTAACGTCCTTGTAGGTTAAAGTGTAAACGTTGTGTTAATAATATACAAATGCAACCGCCCCCTGAAGATAGCGACTGCACTGTACATTTATCACACTGGTATCACTGTTCCAACAACAAAGGGCTGCCGGACACCATTTTAGCCCAGGCATGGCTGTCGAGTAAATGCGTCTCCTTTGTCTTCCATCACCGGTCGCAAAGAGAGGTAAAAGTAAACGAGTGCTTGGATAAGGAAAATATATCTGGTCATTGCAATAGTGCCAAAAATAATAGAAATCATAATGAGTGCGAGAATATTGATTCTGATTATGAACCGGATGACCAAGCTGATAGTGATTATGCGTAACCTTAGTTTAAATCTGAAATTTGGAAGCGAAAATCTATGTRTATAATTTTTTCAATTAACTTCTTCACCAACTATAATATGTGACTTCACTTTTCTTCTGATTTCGTATATCATTGTGGTTGGTGCATCGTTGAACGGAATCTGCAGCAACAAAAGAGTATTTGACGAAAATGAGCGACAAAAGAGTCCGCATGTAACGTAATCTAATGCTGTGAACCAATAAAGTGGATGATATATTGAAAATTCAAATTTGTGACAATCTTATCGCACATAATTTAGTATCCCGAAACGGAGTAGTTTTCAATCTTGTTTGGTTTATGTATATATATTTAAAAATCAGAAATTAATTAGCTTATAAGGTACATAAATAGTACTATTGTAACTGTAAATATGTTTTTACTACCCTAAAAATACTTTTAAGTTAATGCATTACATTTATTTTCGCTGTTTGTTACTGCAAATTATTATAATTTATTAAATTTACTGAAAATACGCATATTTTAATAAAATTATATGCAAAAATATTTATGTTTTATAATTGAACGAGTTGCTCTAATTCAATACCATATTTAGTTAACTTTTAAAGCTATGCGTCATAAAGAGTGAAACACCTAAGCGTTATTCCACACATTTTTTTAAGTATATCAAAAGTATGGTAAATCACTCACGTTAAAGACATGGAATTATAGTACATATGTATATAGTAAGTTATAGTGTATTAATATGTGTCATTTCTAATACTCGGGATATAAAGACCCAAAACCCTGAATCGCATTAGATATCGACGAGCTAAACATCCTGTATTTCATGCCACACATTGCTTTTTTCAGGTGGTTTCTCTAATGGCGCTGTTGAAATACTTCGACATTCGACTAGAAATTGATGAATACCCTGATAGTACCTGAAAAAGAAGCAAATGATATAAATCTATCGGTAAAATCGGTGTAAAACGTATGGTGCATACTATAAGCCGAAATTTAATGACGTATTTTTCTTCAAAAGAAATCCTAAATCTGTTTGCAATATACGGTAACAATTTTATTAATTCTTCTGTACTCTATCGTAATATATTTTCGGTTTTATGTCAATATGCACCACACACCTTGAAATTTACTATACCCGTCCATTATCCAGGTATCATTGTGAGCACCTCCTATAAATTCGAGTATGCGCTTTTGTTCACTTCCACACTTCATATATAAAGTACGCATCATACGAGGAGGTACAAGGTTATCTGCCAAACCTGATATAAATAAAAATGGTACTGAACATTTACCAATTTTCCATGAAGATAAATACTAAAATATAAAGGAAGTATATAAATATTGCGCTATATTATCTGTTAATTGACTCGCTTACTTTATTTTTAAAGCAACATTTTGGTATTAGATTGGCGGATGGATGAACTAATTCAACGGCCATTTCTGGTATGCTGGTAAATGTGTTTTCTACAATTGCACACATAATTTTTTGACTATACACTGTATCTGCGGCTACATCAATTACCACAGCACCGCCTAATGAACGACCAAATAATACTATCTTTGTGTGATCTAAATCGTTGCGTGTATACAAGTAATCTATTACAGCGCGAGCATCTAATGATAACCCCTTTTCCGAGGGTACACCAGTTGAAAAGCCGTAACCACGGTAATCTATCATTAATATATTACAGTGAAGATGATTAAATATTCCCCAAATATTTTGCATACGATGACCCATATTGCCAGCATTTCCGTGAAAATAAACAAAAGTTGGCACCACCTTTGAACGCTCCTTCGGCTGCGACACCCAAAATGCGTGCAATGTTACTTTATCTGGTGTGTGAATACTGACTGATTCATGTGGCAGGTTATGCATTTTTGGGATAGGCACATAAATGCGAGAGTTTGCCGGCAGATCAGGATGATATAAGAGCATATCTTGCAAATAATAAAAGCCAACTGGAAAGCGATATTTAAATTATTTGACTAACTTAAGTAACTGTTTGCATACTTACAAGATGTAATACAGAAAAGTAAAAGGATGGTTAAAAGACTTCCATAGTAGTAATAAAATAATAGGAAGGCCAAGAGTACAGCTAGAGATACGGCATATATGCTGCGAGACTTGGGCAAGGCAATTGGCACGCCGCCGAATTCTTGCGACATTGGGTGTCCGTTTGCGGCTAGTGTGGTTTAGTAATTCCCGTGGGATAAACTGATATTGCAATGTGTGGAGAGTCATCAAACAAACTGATACTGTTTAGCGTGTACCCAACAACATTTCGATGTTTTTCGTTGTAAGCRCTGAAAAATTTTATGTTATATTCTTTAGAAAGGACATTAATATTTTCCACAMTTAAGATATTATTTCTTTTTTTGTTAAKATTGTTCAACAAACTACAGTTCAGGATTATATTTACAACAAATTACAGCTGATTTCGTTCCTTCACATAGTTATCGATATTATCGATTTATAAATCTTCTACTTAGATTTATTTTGATACTGTTTCACATCACTAACACTTCTCTTTATTAGGGTCCAGCGGATTAGTAGAATTTTAAGGCCAGTCAAACCTGTACTAATGGAAATCYTTTCGTTATACGGGACATACATGTTTCGCGTTGTTTTGACAATGAGTAAACATGAACGGATTGCGAAGGGATAATGTATATTTCATATTCTTTTTCAATATGTCTTAATTTTTCCAACTTTTAACTTTGCAAATGAGCAATTGGGCAAACACATGGTGATAAGTGAGTAAATTTCAAATACAAGTCAAATCAAATGTAATAGCCCTGACAGACGACAGCGATAATATGCATTAGCGGGCTTAATTTACATTTACTTGCGCATATGACCCATGTTAATGCAAGTTTGCAATGCACAAGAATTCCGTGCGTTTAGCTGAATTTACCAAATTTGAGAAGGCAACACTGCTCAAAAATGGTCGATCTTTGCTATTTTTTGACAGATGTCGCTTGAAGTCTGCTGCTTCTTTGCGTTTACAGCATSATGCGCGGAACACAATGCTAACGACAGACTGCAGCAGCACGACAGTGAACTGAAAATGGCGTTGTGAATCCTACTACAAGAACGTTTGTGAGAGGGCAGCAACATAACAATGGCCGGCATGTACACAAAACAAC